GGGTCTTGGAGATGTCTCATCCATAATGTCGCCATGAGTCAAGATCGACTTGAGGGCAGTTAACAACAGCAACAACAAAATTATATTGATCCATGTCATATGTTTTGCTGCCGTGTGGTTTCCAAGCATTTTGGTTTGTCCCTATGAATGTAACATCCAGTACTCTTGCGACACTTGTGTTGACTTGTGGTGTGAAACACTCGGCACCTAATTGATCCAGCCTTCTTCCTCCATTTCCACTAGAATAATTTTGGCAAAGGTTGCCCTGGAAGATTTTGAGGTGACTGGTTCATCACACTGCCAATCTCCCAGGAGCAGTTGGAGAGCATTTTGTGGAGGCTGGACTGGAGGCAGCGATGAACTTTTCATTCTGTCAGTCTTGATCAACCGCTCTTCAAGTCCACCAGTTCAGACCATGACCTACTTTGATGATTTTGTTCTGCCTCATTACCTACGGCTGCTGTCGCTGGATGAATTGATCTTCTTGGAATTCTCCCTCCATAGTTGGGGCTGAAAGGTTGTATTGTTTCCTAGGTTTACCAGGACGATTACTTCCCGATAAGTAGACGTCTAGAATATTTAGAACTTCTCTGTCTCAGTGAAACCGTCCAGAAACTTATCACAAGTGCATTTACACATTTGTGGTGATGATTTGTTTTCCATTAATCTGAAAGGCATGGAGAAAAAAATAATAATAATAACTGGAAATTAGATGGGACTGCCAACATTACAGCATGTTGTACAAGTAGTTATTGCTTGTACAAGTAGTTATTACAAACAATATTTGCTTATTGTAGCTTCAAGCAAGTTTGCAACCTGTATTAAATTCAAGGCTGAAATTCCATATGCAATTACATGGGAATTACATGCCCCATTGAGTTCAGTGGTCATTACCTCTGAGCATAGGATTGTGCTGTAACATTTTATAAAACAGTCAATTTTCAATGTTGCTATTCATCTTTTTTGGTGGTGGTGTTATTAACTGACTTCAAGTCAGCTTTGACTTATTGAAATCTTATGAATGAGACATCTCCAAGACACACTATCCTCAACAGCACTACTCAGATCTTGCAGAGTCAGGGCTGTGGCTTTCTTGATTGAGTATCCATCTGTAATGCAGTCCTCCTCTTTTCCCACTGCATTGTGTGTGTGTGTGTGTGTGTGTGTCTCTTCAGGTTGTTTCTGACTTACAGCAACCCCAAGGCAAACCTATCATGGGGTTTTCTTGGCAAGATTTGTTCAGAGGAGGTTTGCCATTGCTTTTCCCTGAGGCTGAGAGCATGTGACTTGCCCAAGGTCACCCAGTGGGTTTCATGGCCAACCTGGGAATCAAACCCTAGTCTGCAGAGTCATAGTCCAACACTCAAACCACTATGCCACGCTGGCTCTCCACTTAGCATTAATGTCTTTAATAGTCAATCTTGTCTTCTCATTATATGACGAAAGCACAGCGGCCTCAGTTTAGTCATTTTGGCTTCTAGGGAGAGATCAGGCTTAATTTACTCTAGGACCCAATGATTTATCTCTTTAGCAGTTCACTGTATCCATAGAACTCTTTTCCAGCACCACATTTCAATTACATTGATTTTCTTCCTATACGTTTTTTTAAAAATAAGGAACATCATTTTACGAGCTACACCATTGCATATAATGGGATGTGAGCATCCATAGATTTTCGTGTCCACAGGGGATCCTGGAACCAAACCAGAGTGAATACTAAGGGAACACTGTAGTTTCTTTCAGGTTCAGGGTTATTGTGAAACTTGTTGTGTCTCCATTTGTTTTGGTGGTTACTGTCATGTTGGTTCTGCCCTCTACACCACATTGATGGCCTGGGAGTCAGACAGTTTGGATTCAAGATACATCAAAGCTAGGAAACTCATCTGAATAACCTTGAGTCTCTCCATTCCTGCCTGGTCTACCGCACAGGGTTGTTGTCGCACAGGGTTGTTGTGAAGGTGATGTGGAAAGGAGGACAGCCATGTATACTGCTCACTGGAAGAAAGACAGGACATAAGTGTAACTAATAAACAACATTAACCAAAGAGTGTATGGCATCTCTTTCTGTGGAACCTGGACATTTTGGCTGGTCTACTAAGGTTGACAGTGTGGCATAGTGGTTTCAGTGCTGAAGTCTGGAGACCAGGAAACATATCCAGGGGTAGCTGTGTTGGCCATATAGCAAAGTCCACTAACAACCCAAATCC